ACTACAAGAAATGCACTGATAAACTAATTGATATGTATGCGTCTACGCCTAAAAATAGATAATATCATTGAAGAGAGTGCAGTTCGGTTCGGTAACTTGAGTGTTCGATGCGTAAATGTTCATAATATCACGGTGATTAACTGTATATTTTTATATATAAGTGCACTAGGGTGGTCTAAAAATGATGTTTTATGGGTCCTCCCCATTGCTTTTTTTGGGGGACCTATTAGAAAATAGTTAATATTAAAAACTGGTTAAATGAATAATTGGGTATTGTTACTGGATGTGTACTGAAAAGAAACCAAGTTTTCCGATCGAAAAATTTTGATTTTCAAGAATTCTATACCATTTGTACGAAACATTGCTTTTCCCATAAAAAACACATGGAAAACTTTAAGCGCTTTGAGCGACTTCTAAATACTTTTTGATTTCGAGTGAGAGCATTAAAATTCCGACTTTGTCTTTTTTTCGCCCTACCCTAATGTACATACATACATACATACGTGCAGTCGCTTTCAAGCAAAAATACGACTAACGTCATGACTGTTAATCTGAAGCAATTCCACAATTTAGGCATTTGAAGCGTCCAAAAGGGCATCTCCTACTAACGGAATTAACAACGTCTACAGCATAGGCAACAATAGACGTCGGGTGCTCCAGTGCACTACTAATAATGCTCTTCAATAAAGGTAAAAATAAGTAGAAAAGATTTTCATGGTAAAGAAAACTTGCGGTTGACTAATATGTTGAACCTGGGAACCCAACAGACTGAAAACCCGCACGAACACGCACGGAGACACCACTCAAAAAGGTGTGTCCAGATCAATTTTAAAAGCTATTTGAGAAAACGGCCCCAAATGTGGTAAAAAACGCTTTTGAGGTCGTTGAACCCGATTTGGTTTGTTAGAACCGCGAATTTCAAAATAGCCGATTCAATATGGCGCACCATCTGAAATTTGCCACCAAGAAAAACACTACTTTTAGTTCGATGTTTTTTTTATAAGCTTTTATTTAACTTGGTCATCCTGCGGAAATCGCGGAAATTTCCAATCGATTTTAAACTAACTTCCCGACAAGTTAGAGACTTGAAATTTTCAGCATAGTTCCAATCACGATGACAATGCAATTTAATATATAAATGAATTCTCCATATGGTCCAGGGGTCTTGATTCAAAGGCGGTCAAAAAGTAGTAAGATTTATGGCTAACAGAGCGTAATTTGCCAAAGAACGTAAAACCACTATAAAATTGTTAAAGCTGCCGGCGCGCCGCGGCGGTAGTGTAGCAAAGCTATTCCTAGTCTAGATATAAACCTCGTTGTAGGCATCATATCAAGGAGATACAATTAAAAGACTCCAGATGTCGCAAGCCAGGAGAAGTTAAATATTGTGCCTAAATATATATATAGGTACTAATAATATTGCCTTCAATTACGCTCGCTGTGACTTTGAAGGCATTAACAATTCGTTCGCAGACCTGAACTGGTACGACTTGCGCGACGACTTGGATGCCGACAACTGCTTTAACCCTCTAGTAGGCTGAACCGCCTCCAGGCGGTCGTTAACTAAACGCCTTTTGTGTGCACCTATGTATAATAATTTGTTTCTATATCCGTAAGGCACGATCTTTAGACAAAAATCGTACCCTTACGGCGAAGTAAATTTGAATCCGTTATGTCAATCCGTTTCATTTTAATCGGCAGTTGAATTACAGATTTTGAAAACGCGGTTAGAATTAATTATTTCTTGCTATTTAGTAATTTCGTGATTAAAGAAATTTGTTATTTAAAAAAAATTTTTGATATAAAAAAATTCAGTGGACTTCGTAGTTAAAAGCACCGTATTTGATATAAGTTTGATAATTATGCCCCCATTCGAAATGGAGAAAATTGCTTTCAAACACAGACCGTCTACAGACCGGCTTGCCGACATATAAAAACCCAGTTTGCATTTTTGACCGTCTGCAGACGGGATTGCCGGATCGTAGGTCAACATTGTGTAAGAGAAAGCTGAAAATATGTCAAAGTATATCGGCGAGACGGTCTTGGTTTTTCTCCCCTGTAGGAAAAACTTACTGTCACAGATCGAAATGGACATCATTTTTGGATTTCTCGTGCTAAAATCACCCATTCCTGAATTTTTCAACTCATAAAAAAATTGGCCTACTAGAGGGTTAACACCTTCAAGACAGTTTTGCTTGACATTTGCTCTGCTAACATTCCCACCGTCAAAAGTAAGCCATATAAACTACCTTGGTATAATTCTCGATTAAAGAAGCTCAACAATCAGCGAAATAAGTATTACAACAAGTATAAATCAACCAATAGTCCGAGTTACTACTCAATGTACAAGCGGTTTTTAAAAGAGTTTAACTGACTTGACAAGTTTCTCCACAAAAATTATGTCCTTAATTTCGAACTTAATATTAAATCTAACCCCAAAGCCTTCTGAAATTTTGTTAAATCTAAAAAATCATGTTCTACTATTCCCTCCTCAGTTTTCCTCAATAATAAATCTGCGGATACTCCCGCTGATGTTGCTAACCTGTTCGCTGATTTCTTCAAATCCAATTTCGAATGTTATTTAGACACAAATCTTCATATTGGCCCTGCATCCGGTGTTAGTTCCTCATTTAGCTTTGGTTCCCTATACCTTTCATACGATGATGTAGTGAAAGGTGTTGTTGATCTGAAGACTTCCGCAAGAACTGACATTAATGGAGTATCCGCACTTTTATTAAAAAACTGTTCAGCACTTCCAATAAAAATTATCTTTAACAAGTCTCTTTCTACTGGGGTAATTTTAGATGCTTGGAAATTGGCCTCTATAACCCCAATTTTCAAAAGCGGAAACAAAAACGACATTAGTAACTATATACCGATTTCTAAACTGTCTACCGTGTCTAAACTGTTCGAATGCATCGTTAAGAATAAAATGTATTTCTCGGTCAAGAGCCTATTTGCCCAAACCGACATGGTTTTTACCTGGGCGCTCCACGGTCTCAAATCTTGTGGTCTTTAGTGAATATTGTATTTCGGCCTTTTCTAATGCATATCAGGTGGATTGTATCTACACAGACTCTTCGAAGGCTTTCGACAAGGTGTCGCATAGAATTTCGCCTAGGTTTCCATTCTGTCTTCTTAAACTGGCTTAAGTCGTATTTGTGTTGCAGGCGATGCGTTGTTACGGTAGACCATTTTTCGTCTGATATCTTTGTCGCGACCTCGGGCGTGCCACAAGGTAGTATTCTCGGGCCAATGCTTTTTGTTTTGTTTATAAATGACATTAGTTCATGCTTCTCTTTTTCAAATTATCTGTTAAACGTCGACCATTTGAATATATTCTCGAATATAACGAACACTGCCGACATGCTCAAACTTCAAACAGAGCTTGATCACTTGCATGCTTGGTGCCTCCAATCGCGCCTTTCCCTTAATATCAATAAATGTTTTCATGTAAATTTTTCTAAGTCCCCAAATGTGTTTGTTACCTCGTATCATATCTCAGGCAGCACGCTGCAGCTTATCAGAGAAATTAAGGACCTTGATGTTATATTTCACACCAAGCTCTCCTTTAATGGCCACATCGATTTCATAATTTCTAGATCATGTGCTATGCTCGGCTTCGTCAGGAGGAATAATGCTGAGCTGCGTTCGTGCGCTCCCATCTGGAGTATGCTGCTTTTATCTGGCGTCCGTCCCATCAAACTTAGATTGACAGGATNCTTCGAAGGCTTTCGACAAGGTGTCGCATAGAATTTCGCCTAGGTTTCCATTCTGTCTTCTTAAACTGGCTTAAGTCGTATTTGTGTTGCAGGCGATGCGTTGTTACGGTAGACCATTTTTCGTCTGATATCTTTGTCGCGACCTCGGGCGTGCCACAAGGTAGTATTCTCGGGCCAATGCTTTTTGTTTTGTTTATAAATGACATTAGTTCATGCTTCTCTTTTTCAAATTATCTGTTAAACGTCGACCATTTGAATATATTCTCGAATATAACGAACACTGCCGACATGCTCAAACTTCAAACAGAGCTTGATCACTTGCATGCTTGGTGCCTCCAATCGCGCCTTTCCCTTAATATCAATAAATGTTTTCATGTAAATTTTTCTAAGTCCCCAAATGTGTTTGTTACCTCGTATCATATCTCAGGCAGCACGCTGCAGCTTATCAGAGAAATTAAGGACCTTGATGTTATATTTCACACCAAGCTCTCCTTTAATGGCCACATCGATTTCATAATTTCTAGATCATGTGCTATGCTCGGCTTCGTCAGGAGGAATAATGCTGAGCTGCGTTCGTGCGCTCCCATCTGGAGTATGCTGCTTTTATCTGGCGTCCGTCCCATCAAACTTAGATTGACAGGATCGAGCGCGTTCAAAAGGTGTTCCTTAAATATGCTTTACGCTCCTTACTTTCCTCTGACCCGATTCCTTCCTAAAGTGATCGCTCATTGCTGATTAGTTTAAATTCTTTGGAAAATAGGAGGTCTGTCCTNTTAAATTCTTTGGAAAATAGGAGGTCTGTCCTTTCCCTAACTTTTGTGTTCGGCATTATTCAAGGAA